ATTAAAATTAAAACTCTAATCTAAATTAATTTATTTACATGAAAATATTAAAATAAAAATTATTTATCATGTTTTTGTCCTTTTTCTGATTTTTTAGGCATTTTTTGTATATTGTAAAATTAATTAATTCAAACAATAAAGAAAATAATATAATAATTAAAAAATATAAAATATAAGAAAAAGAGGGAAGATTGCAAACCAGGGGGTATCAGTCCCCAATTGTGAGGTATGGACTCAGCAATCTGGCCCAATAACATTGGCCTCGTTGGACCTTTTTGAATCATGTGTGATGCGTTGACTAGGGTCTACCATATGCCTTGAATCTGAGCCCTTTGGTTGATCTCCCAGGACACGTGGGCGATGATCTTTGAGCGTGCATGAAGATCTTCAACGTAAATGCTGCATAGGATTTGTTAGGGAAAAATAATATTGAAATATGTAAGACCTGGGGCTCGAACCCAGGTCATGTACCTTCACCACCAATCCTAGTTGCCAGCTGAGCTAAGCGCACATTCAATTAATATACAAACAAACAAATAATATAAAAATAAGCAACGCGTTAGTGGATGGAAACGCGCGAAATTCAAAACAGCGTATCACTTGTTGCCACCACATCATCGTCTTCACCATCCCTGTATCATAAAACATGAGGCAACGGTTTTTTGGACGTTCTCTTAGGCATGCTACCAAAAAATAGCGATTAGGCCTATGCAACTCATAAATTAATCGCGACTATGGATTCTTCTTCGTCCAAGCTTGCTAAATTGAATGGTGGTGGTCTCAAGGCTTAATTTTTCCTCGTTTGCAAATCCCCAATTCCAACCTCTGAAAACCCTAAAATTCACTCATGGCATATTCGTATATACAGCGTAATAATCAAATTAAATGCATTGGTTAGCTTTATAATCAAATGAGGAACAAGAATCTATGAACAAAATGCTGTAAAAATGCTTAAAACATGAAACACGATAATCAATTTTTCTCTGTACAGTTTTGATTCAATATACCAATTCCTGGCGTTTGGATGGCTGTTCTTGATTGGAATGTGATCAGGGACCTTCAAGGAAGCTAATGGAATCGTTTTTATGCTTTGAATCGACCTAAAAAATGCTTTTCAGTTTTGAGCTTTTAGGGAATTTTTCCAAGTTTGTCAATGGTTCTTTAGCGCAGCTTTCTGTGTATGTCCATTAGGGTTATGATCCTGGCATATATATGAATCAATTAGGTTAACAAATTGGATCCAAATCTCTTGTAATCATTGATTGAATATTTGATTTTTTTAAGATCTTTTTCCATATCTTTTTCACATGTTTTTGTATCAATTAGCATCCAATTAAGCCAAATCTTTCCATAATTGTGCAAGCACGAAATATTGAGTTCAAAACATGCATGAAAAGATTTATTAGGTCAAGTTATATATTTTTCACATATTTAAATGATTTAAATGAATTAATATGAATAATAATTCAAATAAATAAATAAAAAATGAGAAAATACTTCCCTTTGGGCCAAGTGGTCGTGCACATGCTTGGAATGATGAATCATGGAAGAAAAATGGGCCCATTAGCATTTTTAGGTCATTTGAATCAAAGTTGACTTTTCAAAATATCCAAAAATTTCCCAACTTCCACAAGGCATAACTTGCTCAATTTTTAAGCTTTTCTCATGTTCTTGGACATTTTGGAAAGGTCTTTGAGTCCTATAACCAATGCCTTTGGTCCCATGTCATTTTGATTTACCAATCTCAAGTTATGGCCTTTGACTTAAAGTCTCTTTTTGTTGACTTTTGAAAATAACCTATAATGTTGAAATTGATAACTTTTTGTGAGAGCATTTCTTGGACTTGAAGTATGAAGATGAGTTGTAGGAGATGTCTTTCTCTTCAAAATGAGCTTTGTATGGAATTTTTCTGATAATCCATGTGAAAGTTATGCCCTGGTCAATTTCAGTTGACTTTTTCAGCTGTCCAAATAAGGAAACTTTTGCATCTTGATGATTTCTGAGCCAAATTTTGAGAATCATGATCAAGCATTGATCAAATGATGTTTGTGGCTTCAAAATGATATGTTGACCAAAAATTTGAACTTTTGACTGTCAAATGACCATTTTGCCCCTACAGTTGACTGTAGTGCAATTTAGGGTTTTGACTGTGCAATTTTGAGCTGAATGCCTTGAAACTTGACATGAGGATACTTGACCATATTTGTAGGCATATGAGACTTGATTGGGCCTTTGAAAACTTCCTTCTCTTGATCAGCACTCAAACCCTAGTTTTGACTGTATAGGAGCCCTTTGCACTGTGCAACCCTTGGGGAATTTTGCAGCTTGACTTGGCAATTTCTTGGAGAATATGGGAGGGCAAATTTTGGGGTACAACAGAAGGCATCCTGAGTAAACTCTAAGCAAATGCAGGCATCCCTTGTTGGCCTCATAGATCTTAAAATTTCTCTGAAATCCCTCCTGGCCGCCGCCGTACTCGACGACAGTGTAAGCTTGCCTGCCAGTATAGCTATAGATCGAAGTTATCCCCCGGGGTTCCGCACCAACCCAGTCCAGAGTAGGGTCGTCGATGGTGTCGACCAGATTCATGCTTTCCTCGGCAGTGCTGGTTTCCTCGGTGTCAATATGCTCCGAGAACTCGGGAATATCGGCCATTTACCTACAAAGTACAGGAAACCGGTGAATTCGACAGTAAATCCGCTTTTTTGCCACACAGACGGGGAGAAGTAAGCAACACTCAGACCGAGTCAACAGTCATTCGCACGAAAGACGGGGAACACGTGGACCTCGATCAAACACTGATTTTAACGGCGGACGTATATCAATCATAAATGTCACGAGCACAGCAAGAATGTCCCGAGCAAAGGATAAATTTCACGACCAAGTTCATAACATTGTTAGCCAGATACAAGAATACCACGAGGAAAACTAGCCTACATACTAACGAAAGGATGAATCCCCCGACCAAGTTCATAAATCTATTAGCCAAACGCATGAATATCACGGGCACAATCATAAACCGCATGCCTAAATGTATGAACGCCGCGGGCATGATCATGAATCAGACGCCTAAAGCGCTTGAGTTCCCCGGACATAATCCCCAGACACGAAATTCTACCACTAAACACTATCAAAATCTATCTACAACACAAGATAACAAAGAAAAAGACCACTTACTTGGAGGAAAAGCGAGGAGCGACAGTTTTGGAGATAAGTACACGGTGGACTGTGCGGCGGTCTCAGTGACACTAGGAAAACGCGCGGTGTTAACGACAGAGAAAATATGAGAGCGTGAAAATGTGAAAACAAGTTATGGGCCCTGAAGCCCTATTTATAGAGATGTCGTGGAATGTGAAATGTCGCGTCGGGGAATCACAAACCACCTTTATCCTCGACACCTACTCGCATAGACAATGATGACCCCTACTCCCTAGGCCGTCATTGTGGTTTCCAAGAGCCACGCCATGTGTCTGACTAGTGTATCATCCTCTCCCCGTGAGTACTCCTCGAACACTCTTCGACCGTTGCACGAAGCAAATCATGAACCAGGCGACGTCTTCCGTCCACGGTAGAAAAACCCTGTGTTGTACAGCGAGTCTCGCGAAGGGGCGAACTTGAATCAAGTCATAACTCCTTCACCGAGAGCAACGACTTAGGGGGCTCCTATTCTGGACTGGGCCTGCCCTTGGCCCAACTACCGGTAAGGCCCAATTCAAGCTTGCCAACCTACTGCGTTGAGCAGTATTTCCACCGAGCACATTCCGATCACAGATGTCTCGTCGACCAAGACTGCTTCCCGTTGGTGCTCGCAGAGACCATCTCCGACGAGCGCGCGCTCCTCCCGAGCACCTTCCTTGTAGGGCTGACTTCCAACCTCTTCAGATTTCACGAAATCTCATGGTCCCGGAAGGATCACGTCCATATCCTCCCCGTCTTGCGGAGGACGTTATCCAGGTAGGGGCCACGTGCGGGTCTCCACTACACACGTAGAACCTGGCAGTCTCTTTGTTGGGCCTGTTTAATTAGCCCAATAAGAAGACCTTGGTCCAGCGCTGGGGGCTATAAATACCCTCTCTTTTAAGAGGGTCGGATATTCATTCATACATCTCTAAACTCATACTTGTTTGTTCATTCCGCTTCTTACTTTATCATCAGAGTGTCTTGCAGGTACCTCCCCCATCTCATTCAATTTCAGCCCGAAGCCAGCTGTGACGGTCCTTCTCTGATCCGGTAAGATCAGTTATAATACATGATCTATTACACTAATATATTTCTAAAAAATATCAAAATTTATTATCCAAAAAGTAATTATGAAAATCTATATTTTTATTTTATTACAAAGATGAATCTCCGAATTAAATTATAATAAAGTGAAAGTGTGGCTTAATTATAAATAATTAAATTATATTTGATATTATTACGAAGAATCACACTTCTAATTAGATTACGAAAAACTGAGCATTATATATATATATATATATATATATATACTAAATTTGAGGATATTTTCGAATTTACATAATGATTCACCATGTAAGGATGGAAGAAGTAATGCCATAAATTTTGTCGCTTAATATCAACATGACCTTTTTAGCCATATTATTTTTTAATAAAGGTTACTTTCTCTCATAATTGAGTCCAATAACACATCCACCAAATATCAGGGCATTAAACCAAATCACTCATCCACCTTCAATTATAGAAAATTCCAAAAGAAAAAGATTAGTCACAAATTTGTTTTTCTTCCAAATTTCAAATATTGAAAATAAAAAATAAAAAAATCAAAGCCTTTCTCTTACCTTTCTCCATCTTTCACCTCTCCAACAACGCCATTGAAACAAACCTTCAAAAAACCAAAACAATCCACAATCAATTATCACAAAAACTTCCTAATCTCTCGTAATTACCAATTCTAAACACACCCTAACCACATTCTAATTAAACAATTAAACTAATTATGAAATTATCATTACCATAACCGTTTTCTAACAACCTCCGAAATGCCGACGGTAGCCGTGAAACTCTACAGCGTGTTCTTCAAGTTTCTGTTAAAACACCGTTTACAAAATCGGATCCAAACTCCGACTGAAGAATCCGACTCGTTCGGTATAACTTCTCGACCCGACGAATCTTTAGCTTCACCTAATCCTTCCTTCACCGACGGCGTCGCCACCAAAGATATTCATATTGATTCGAATCTTTCTCTTTCGGTTCGAATCTTTCTCCCTGAATCTGCATTGTTAAATCCCGAACCTAATTCCAAACCTAAACGAAAATTAGAACCTAAGGGACGTGAAACGACGTCGTCGCCGAGGGTTAATACAAGGAGGAATAGTTATGGTCCGAGTGTTGCTCCGGTGAAGGAGGAGGTAAGAAGGAATAGTGTCGGCGGTGGTGATGCGGAGGGTTTGAATTTGAATTTGAATTTGACTTCCGGTGGTGGATATGGCGGTTACGGTGGTTATGGTGGTTATTCGCCGACGATTGATGATCGGAAGAGGAAGTTACCGGTGATGGTGCAGTTTCATGGAGGTGGTTGGGTGAGTGGGAGTAATGATTCGGTGGCGAATGATTATTTTTGTAGGAGGATTGCGAAGCTATGTGATGCGGTGGTTGTTGCGGTTGGGTATCGGCTTGCGCCGGAGAGTCGGTATCCGGCGGCTTTTGAGGATGGATTTAAGGTTTTGAGTTGGTTGGGGAAACAGGCGAATTTGGCGGAGTGTAGTAAGTCGTTGGGGATTAAGAAATTGGATGGTGGTCATAGGCATATTGTTGATTCTTTTGGGGCTTCTATGGTTGAACCTTGGTTGGCTGCACATGGAAATCTATCAAGGTTGTTACACTTTTCACATTGTTTTCTTTTGTTGCTAATCAATGCCTTTGTGAATTGTGGTGTGTTTAATTTAGAGCTATGTATCACCGACACGGTGACACCTGTAGACACTTTTTCAGAGGTGTCGGTGCTACATAGATTTAGAATCTGTTTGGATTGACATTATTTGAGGTTGTCTTCTGGCACAAACACTTGTGAGACTATTTAGAAGATCTTATGACATGTCTATAAGTTGTTTTCAACTTATTTCCATAAGCTTTGCAGGATAGTTTATGAAAACAACTTAGTTTATATGAAAACAATTTGACTTTATTTTATCTTTTGTTATAGAAATAACTTATACATAAGCACTTATATGTTAAATGTTTATGCTATAGAGCTTAATTATGTTGCTTATCCTAACAAAACCATATACCCTTTTCTTGCTTTTGTAGATTGATTTGTTTGTATATATAACTAGATCAATTGGCAACTGAGGGACATTGAAGGAGTTCTAAGGTCTAACCAGGAGGTCTAGGATTTAAATTCTGAAAACTAATGTAACCACCAATTTGCTAACTGCTAACGTTTTGACGATATGTATAGTTGGTAATTGGGATTGCTTTGAATATGATATGATCAACCTAGTTGTGACTGAACTAAATGCTTTGGTTTGTTGTTGGTGTTGTAATAGTTATAACTATCATTATTTGGATGGCATTGTGTGATATAAATGTATAGAGATTAGAATATGTAGAGTTGGATGAGAAATTGGTCATCAGATAGAAGCATGGTCGGAACATTATGGCGAAAGTTGATCCATGTAGCCGACCCACTTAGTGAGATAAGGTTTGGTTGTTGTTGTTGTTGTGTGGATGAGATCTAGAGTTAGGGAGCGAATAACGGGCCGTGCAGTGCAGTTGGATGGTTTTGAATTTAATGGCAACGAGTTTGAATTGCGATTTTCAAATGATCAACCTAGCTGTGATTCATTGTTGTCAATCATGGAAATAACGGCTTATTCAAATTCTGCTGTGCTCTGGCGCAGCTATAGACAACATTCTGTACTAAATTGGGTATCAAGGAACAACAGCAGTTTGTTAAAATTCCGCTAGGCTATAGCACCTCTCTTTCACTTCAATGTTGTGAACTTGTGATATGGTTAACCTAGTTGTAACTGAACTGAATGCTTTCATTGTTGTTGTTCATTAGTTATAACTATCATTATGTCGTTTTCATTCTGTATTTGAAATGTATTTAGAGATTAGAGTATGTAGAGTAAGATGAGAAATTTGTCATGGGATCATGAGTTCGTAAGAGAGTAATAGGTACTGCAGTGCAGTAGTAGGGCTTTTAAATTTAATGACAACAGAAGTTTGGGATTTCAAGCTGATATCAATTGCAAAGAACTAGAGAGTGGCTTAGTTTGGTCTCTTAAACAACTAGGATTCTGCCTGTAGATTTATTCTTGAACATTGTTTTTCATATTTGATTGGTCACATTTTATGGAAGTTTCATATTTGGAGAAAAATAATCTACAAGAAACCTCTTTTTGCTGCTTAACTAGTTTCTCCTAGAGTGTTCTCAAGTTAAATCACATGTCATCGCATTTTCTGTTTCTCAACAATTTGGTATGGAATTATCAGTTGTTATCAGTGTTGTCTTCGGCGGATTGCGGAAAATAGCGGCGGGCCTAAAACCTGCCATAAAAATATGTTTTGCATGCTTGTTATATAGAGTCTAGTGAGAATTATATGATGCGTGTTCATTAGTTATTGTGTAGAGAATTATGGTATGGAGTTCTAATTGATTTTGATCTCAAAATTAATCATGGTGTGTTGCTTTTAGCCCTTCTGTTCAGTTAAATTATTTAGGTTTTAACTTATCAATTGCTGTTTTGCCACTCGTTATTCAGTCAAAGAAGGCATTTTTTTAATCACATCTTTCCCAACTGAGAATCTATTGATTTCTGTTTTATAGAAGGCGTAAGCTACATTGACATCTTAAGTCGAAGGCTGTTACTTCTGTAGATAAGCTTTTGGATTGTCTGTTCCCTTAATATTTTCTTGTCAAGGTTTCTATTCAAATACAGTGTTCATGGTGTTACGTACTGCACTCTTTCAGGGCTTAATTTTTTCCTGTATCATTGAATCAGGTGTGTGCTTCTTGGTGTGAGTTGTGGAGCAAATATTGCAAACTATGTAGCTCAAAAAGCTGTAGAAACAGGCAAACTTCTGGACCCTGTCAAAGTGGTGGCGCAGATCCTGATGTATCCGTTCTTTGTCGGAAGTGTGCCTACACATTCTGAAATAAAGTTGGCAAACTCTTATTTTTATGACAAAGCTATGTGTATGCTGGCATGGAAACTATTCCTACCCGAGAAAGAATTTAGCCTAGACCATCCAGCCGCCAATCCTCTAGTCCCAGGCCATGGTCCTCCTTTAAAGCAGATGCCTCCAACATTAACAGTAGTGGCGGAACATGACTGGATGAGAGATCGTGCCATAGCTTACTCAGAGGAGCTTAGGAAGGTGAATGTTGATGCGCCTGTTCTTGAATATAAAGACGCAGTTCATGAATTTGCTACACTAGACGTACTTCTAAGAAGCCCTCAAGCTCAGGTTTGTGCCGAGGACATTGCCATCTGGGTCAAGAAATACATTTCACTTCGAGGGCATGAGTTCTCATATTGAGTAGGATTTACCAGATTATGTATGTAGATTATGTCAATGATGAGTGAGAAAATCTTTTCCCAGTTGGTGATATTAGCTTCAGGTCGCTCTTCTTCCAACCCACCAGATTATAACGACGATCTGCAAGGAAAACTTTTCTTTTCACTTCAGGTCATTCTTCCGCTGTCTATATACTTGGGGATATGTGATATATTACTTGATTTATTTTGATGCTTCATTAGGCCGTGCCGTCAATGTTGTTGACTGGTTCAAAATAGTTATTTGAAAGTCGGATAGGTGGAACCAGTGAGATTGATGCACCTCATGCACACCACATTTGGTAACACTTGTTCGATTCTTGCTTGTGTATTATGTTGTAATATTTCTCATGAAAACAATATAAAATTTTGTGCATTATTCTTGACTTTGGAGTCTCCAAATGTACCAGAGATGTGTTTTTTTGTTTCTTGATAAGATTCATAAATTAGATTAAATAAAACAAATTACTTCTAAGATACCATTTAGTGACTAACTAGGAGTAGGATGATGATGATATGGAGTTTCTTTAATACTATTAACCAAAAAGTTAAAGACAATGTTTTGCTTAGTTTGCTTTGTTGTGAACAATGTTTGTCTCGACAAGTGTTTCATCATTATCTTAACTTTCATTGTTGTGTCTTACTTACTTCCATTATATAAGTGCCATGGACTTCACATGATTTCACACACTGATTTCCTCCCCTTCAGTTACTGGGGAGGAGAACCATGTGGAGATTGTATATATAGATACAGAATCTCTCACGAAGCAAAGAGACAATTTGAGCTTTGGGGTTGTTGAAACAATCTTCTACCCAATACTGGAAGCACTTTGAGGGTATGAGAGCCACTCTGACCAGTTTGATTTGATTTACCGATCATGCGACTGCGTCAAATGAGTTATTTCATGATTGCAGAAATCTGTATCTTGTGATGAAAATATGGCCAACCTTCTGGGGTCTTTGCATTGGTTGCATTTCTGTTGACTCTGGTAACCATGATTTCATGGACTACTATGGCTGTGGAAAGTTAGGTTTATTTTCAAAATGGCTATGTTTGAACAGAAAAAGGTGGTTGGGAAAAGTTACTATGTCACTTTCAAAATTATAGCAATGTTACTAAACAAATAAAGAAATAGAAATGTTTATTATACTGTGTACAATATTATACGGATGTTTGAATATATTCTTAGTTTTTAATGAACTACTATCCATATATCTTCATAAATGATTTGAGAATATCAAACTTTTCAATATTTTTTGGTCAAGTAGTCAAGTAGATGAGAATTTCATCTTTAAAGATGAATAAGTGAAAAATGAGAAGAGATCTGCATATCAAACTTTTCAATATTTTTTATGCATTGAGAAAATTGTCCAAAAGGTACCATCTGAAATATTTTAAACTTCCTTCAGATAGTAAATTCTCGATATTTGAAATGGTTGCTTGAATTTTGTTCTTTTTAATGGTTGTAGGTATAGTGCACTTAATGTTGTCTACCTAATCAATACATTAGTGAATGATTTGTGGGAGTTCCCCAACTTAATGTTGTATACCTTGATGTTAAAAAGAATTTACCGTTGAATATAAGTTTGCGTTGCATGATCCTACACTTAAATGAGTTTATGCGAAAAGGTGTTAAATTAGATTTTGGGATAATAATTAAAAGATATTTTTCTGATTTTGATAGAAAACCAACATTTATTACAATGAGATTAAAAGAAATGGTCTGTATAAGGAAAGTATCCAAAAGTTAAAATGTAATATCACTCATGCTATAGATATCTATTATATATTTTAACATGCACATAACCTATATTTTTTATTTATTTTTAGAAATCAAAATAAAATTAACTACTTACTAAACTTTCAATTTAAAAATTATTAAAGGTACACCAGTGCGATACACGGATAAATTCTATACAATAATCATTTATAATTATTATAATATAGTTTAATTATTTTAAAATATTATTATAAATATTTGAAATTAAAATATTAATTGTGAAGTTGAAATATTACAAAAATAAAAAATATATAAATGTAAATTTAAGATAGAAGAAAATTTAGTTAAATTCTGTGTTCGAATTTAATAGTTCACATCTTATGAAAAACAATAATATTTATTTTCATCATAATCCAAAAAAAAAAATACAATTTGTAAAGTCTAAAAATTAGTGTACTTATATGTATTGGTATAAACAAAATTAATTTATAAATTAATTAATCTTGTAAGAATAGAGTTTAAAATAATAATAAAATAATTCAAAATAACAACTCTTTTTTTTTTTTAATTTAAAATTTAAACATTAGAAAAATTTAATCCATATTTGATATGTTATGTCTTTTATATTTAATCAAACACAAATTATTGAGATTCTGGTTGATAAAGTTAATATTAAGAATAATTCTATTTAGTTATTAATAGATTTAATATAAAAGATATTAACTACTATGACAATAAAGTAATTTTTTTAGTGAATAGTATAATAATTAATCGTTAGTTTATTCATTGATGATTGATGCTAGATTTGATAGGAAAGACCACAGTTTAATCATCTACAACTGCGATTTAGAAAAATCATGATCATTTAAGTTAGATTGTGTTTATTTCAAGCTATAAAATACTGTATGAATTTGGAGTTCATTTTATTTACCATAATATTTATAGAAAAACAAGAATATATAAGTTAAATAATATTTAAAAAAATACATTTTATAATTAAAAAAATCTTATGAAAAAATTCGATGATTCTTTAAAATCTCTATCTCCACACAAAAAATAATATTAATAAACTAAAATAAACATTGAGAATGATTGAAGAGTATTATAAACAAATATACTCATTTTATTTACCTTAATATTTATAGAGAAGCAATAAGATATAAGATAAATAATATCTTTAAAATAAATATATTTTTTAATTGAAGAAGTCATTAACAAATTTGGCGATTTTTTAAAATCTATTATCTGTACACAAAAAATAATAATTAGCATACAACAATAAAAATATTGAAAAGTATTATAACTAAATTTTCTCATTTTGTTTACCATAATATTTATAGAGAACCAATAAGATATAAGATGGATAATATATTTAAAAATATATATTTTATAATTGAAGAAGTCTTAGGAAGAAATTTAGTGATTGATCTTACCGGTTGATCAAAATCTGAAATGGGTCGAGAAGATAACGTCTGTTTGGCTGGAAATTTAAGAAGATGGGGGGGTATACCTGCAAGACACTTTGACGCTCAAGTAAGAAAGAGTACAAAGAGATATAAAGGAGATATTAGGGTTTTTTAGAATGATTATTCGATACCTGATCCTCACAAGTATGAGGGTTTATATAATACCCCCGGCGTGTAGCCATTGGTTCCTATTTTTAGACCTAGATATTAGGTTCCTCAAAAATAGGTAATTGCTAGGACTTGGTCAAAACGAGCAGCCATGTCGTAACTAGTCGTTGCTCCGAGCAAGAAGGATATTACGGACAGGTGCGTTTATGGGCCCTTCATGGTTGTCTTCTTTACGAGTGTCGGGCAGACCTGGAGGTGGACGTTGATGTGGGAAGACGCGTGGTTAGGGCATCGTTATCCTTGCTACTCTTGTGGCGTGGTCGACCAAGTGTGCTCGACTGATGCTAGCGTTAGTGGGCCCAATCTAGTGGGTCATGCTGAAGGTAGAAGCGGATTGGGCCAATTCTAGTCATTGGGTCAGTCCATAACAGAAGCCCCCCAAGTCGTTGCTTCTTGGCAGAGAAGTAATGACTTAAGACGTGCCTGTGGTCTAGGGACGTTTCATGATTTTTCAAGGACAATTTTGTATGAGGAGCTCGAGTTTCATTTGACTCGCAGGGAGAAGAATCATTGAGTGGGTTTGGGGAGATTGTGTGCCACGCTTGCATCGAGCCACGTGTTGTCATAAATATGTAATCATGGCAAGCCTAGGGGCTAGGACGCAATGATGATGACCCCTAGACTTCCCTAGGGGTGTATCGGCTCACGTGCTAGCGAATTTGCCTATAAATGGAAGAGAGGAAGCTCTATTTGCACTTTTTGCTTGCCTTCTCCTGCCCGTTCCGGCTAGTTTTGCAAAGCACCAACATTCAGTGCTGAAGTTTTTGCCTGTTCTTCCGCTCACCGCTGGAGTTCCTGCCCGTTCCTTCGCCAATCGCCCCCGATCTAGTAAATTCCTTGATTTTTCCTTGCTTCTATGAAATTCATCTATGTTCTAGGTTAGATTTTCTGATTTTGCTTCTAGAGATGCATGTGGTTAGGATCAAAGTAGCTTTACTGTGGAAATTTATGGTGGTTTGTTGGTGTCTGATGGTGGTTATACCATACGAGGATATCGGCTCCGCCGTGAATCCTTTGGGAATGACTGGCGTTAAGGACAACAACGGCGAGTTGTGAAGAGCTTTCTGGTGAAGTTGGGCCATTTCTGGGCTTTTGCTATGTTTTTTATGCGTTTCCGATGAATCCCCATGTGAGGTTTGAAAACCCAGCTGTCGGGGAGATTGCTCATCACCGAGTTAGGGTTTAGTCTTGCAGACAGACGCCCAACGCGTTAGAGGGAATCGTCCATGCGTTTTCCTGTTGAAGTGAGGGCTCTGACCGGGGAAAGGGTCCTCGTTCCTTTGCGCGCCCTTTCACTTGATTAGGGGTGGAAGGGTGGATTTAATTTGACGTCGAATTCACTTTCGTCCTCTGTTTTTAAGGTAAAATGGCTAGCAGCGCTGGAGATGAAGTCATGAGCGAGCAAGTGAAAGCCAACAGAGTTCGCCTGAGCTTACTTCAACCGACAAGAGTATGTCGGGGCAGCAAGGTTCTGAGCCGAGAATGTCGGGGCAGGTTCAACCCAAGCAGAATGTGCCTGAGGCTCCTGAGGTTTCCATGGACTGGGTCGCACCAGGTCCTCGAGAGATTGCCTCCTGCTTCACTGAGCATCTGGATGAGGCGTTTACTGTAACGCCCGTAATTTAATT